GGGGGGGGGGGGGTTTGTCACGTACTGCGACAACACGCTGCAATTGTTGAGACGAGCCATGGTTATTTCAGAAATGATCATCTCCAGAAAAGCCGAGAATGTGGAAAATACTCCCTGCCGCTCTCCATTGCTTTCAAAACCGAAGCCGGCGGCGGCGGAGAAATTCCCGCGCTCCATGACTCCCGATGGAACAAAAACCTCGGGATGCTTGGTATGAATACCCTTTAGGCCTGTCGAGCCTTCCAAGTCGGAATCAATGACCATGACACGGCGAATAGCTTCCTCTTTACTTAGTGTGTCGAGCACTGAGTTCACTGCCTCACCAAAGATGACGCGATTGGCGCCCTCATCCTTGGTGGAGCCAAGATACTCATGCGGGTCTTTTCCAGGCTTGATTTCGTCGTAGAAAGCAAGCTGCTCCGGCTTGTAACCGCGCTTGGTGAGGTACTTACGAGCGATGTCAACCTTGACGACATCGTGAGCGGCTGTCTGGCCCTCGATTCCCTCTACACCGGCGGCCATCTTGCGGTTCGAAACTACAGCAGCAGGACCGTCGTGGTTGATGACCTCACAGATGGCAGGGTAAAGTGAGTCAAGATCCTCGCCTTGCGCGCTGACCACTTTTATCCCATGACCCTCGAGAGTACGAGCCATGTCAAAACCTTTCAAGTACTCTGAAGGATGGCCGGCAATCGTCACGTCGTTGTTGTCGATGAAGAGCTTCACACGTAGATTGTTGGCGGCGGCAATTCTCGCTGACTCTGCGTCGTTACCTTCTTGCTGGGAACCATCCGACCCTAGAAGTATTACATTCTTGTCCTTGTTGGCCATGGCAATGCCGTTTACCAGACCCCACATATGACCAAGTCGGCCGGAGCTGAACTTGATCCCCGGAGTCAATCCTAATTCCGGATGGCCCGGAAGCTTCGAGTCGGCGTCGCGGTATTTTAGAAGGTGATCGGGCTCGATCTTGCCGTCGAGGGCCGCAAGCAGATACTGAGTCGCTACACGGTGTCCGGCCTCGTCGAATATAGCATCCACGAAGCTCTCGGGGCTGTTATTCAGGAACCCTAGGAGTATGCAGACCTCGGGGGCGGTGTCATAGGGACCTCCGGTGTGACCGGCGACGCCCCGAGCAGCGCCGGTAGCAGTGAAAGCAATGATGGCATCTCGGAATATGTCAATATTGTGTTGGAGGTCTCGCTTCTGGTCGTCCGACAGCTTGGGATTTTTGTAATCAAGCTTCAACTTTTTGAACTGGGTTAGATCTACCGGCAATTTGAGTTTGGAGGCCATGATGACGGCTTCGTCCAAAGGTGTGCTATAGGTAAGGAAAGTTGATGGTCGGTGTCACTGAATCACGGGGTGGGAAAGTGAATAGAAGGCTCCGGGATGATAGTCGGTCTTGGCTGACCACACCAAAATGCTGAATCCAAGGGGGGTGAAATGAAATATAAAAAGAGTAGAGTAGAGAAGGGAAGCAAACATTTGGTCTTTTGCGTGAGCTCCATTATATTGGAGGTGGTGGTGGGCGGCTTGATCAGGTGAGCGGGGCGCGCCTCTGGACCCCTCTGGACCCCTCATCATGTTAGCTTTAGTGGACATACGTCATAGGTAGGTTGGCCCGTTGGGTACCTTAGGCCGTCATTTCATTTCGATCAGACCACCACCACTATCACCTTGACACAGTACTCGTACATACATACATACATACGAGTGAGTGGGTCACCAAACAGCACAATGGGGTGAATCTCAGTAGATATCTCCCTATTCCTGGCCTGATCAAATTGTCTGTTGGTTGGTTGAACCCATCCTTTCCTCCAGAGCACCAGCTGATTAATTGCCTTGCACGCCCAGGTCGATCGAGTGAGTGACACCGACAATAAGGCCGCACAGGTGAAAACTGCCATTGCTGCTGACTCCAGGCTCGCCATTCAATCAGGATATTTTTTCTAATCTTTTTTTGTTGCTTTTTTTCTTCCCCTTTCCTTTTCAGACTGCCCACTCCCCTACTGGCCAACATTTCTGAGATGCTTACAAGTGTAAGCTGCTCGACTGCAATAAGCTGGCCTGCAAAATGGAAGAGATCGCATGGCTGATTGCACAAGCCCATGCAATAAAGGCGCTAAGCAAGCGTCCTCAGTCAATTCTAGCTACTATACATAGGCCTACTACACACTGTGATCGATAGCCCACAGGTCACTGACCTGCCTTGGCCTGAGCCTTTCACGAAGAGAACATATATGGTTAACAAGAAAAATTTGCAGTGCCGCAATGGAAGGTCTTAGGCACCATTCACAATCTGGAAACATTGAAATAGGGGGGAGAAAATCTAACTGCTAACTACCCATGAATATACCTGCTAAGGGAGACTCGACAAGGAAACTTGGCTGTTGGGTGGGCTGCCCCAGCGTCGATCATGTATGCCCTCTGGCTCGCCACTCCGCTTAGGTCAACTTTCTTCCCTGCATCCAGCTCGTCATAGCTCTCCTGGATGTCAAATTCGCGAATTGTACATGCTAGCACGGCCTTGATCTCGGTCATGACCTGCTGCTGGCCGGGACACGACCTTGCGCCATGCTCGAAAGGACGCCAGGCTCGAGGTGGTGGGTACAGCTCGTGTCCAGTTTCGACAAGCCACCGCTCGGGGATGAACTCCTCAGGTTTGGGCCAGACCTTTGGATTCATGTGGTTAGAGTAGTGCGAAATGACAATGGAGAAGCCGTCAGTCGGGTATCGGTTGCCCTCGGCGTCGACAATGTCGAAATCGGCCGAGCCCTTGCGGAGGCCATTCGCAACAGGGAACAAACGCATAGTCTCTTTGATGACCGCTTGGGTGTATGGGAGGGAGCTGAGAAGCTGCGGGCTCTCGATAATCCTCCTCGGCACATCATCAATGTCAGTGCCCAGCACGGAGTCATGCTCAGCCCGGATGCGCTTAAGCGCGCTCGGATGCTTGAAGAGAGTATAGTAGCAAAAGAGAATCGAGCTCGCAGTCGAATCGTATCCAACAAAGAAGAAGGCTCGCATATTTCGCGTCATCATGGTCAGAAAAGCAGTATCAAGCGTGGAGATATTCCGCCTCCCCGCCTGCCGAAGGTAATCTTCGATGGCAATGTCAATGACTGGCTTGAACGCCTTGGATTCTTCTCTGGTCTTGTGGCTTCGATACTCTTCAAATCTCTTCTGCAGCTGAGTCTTGATCCCATTGTCAAGAATGCGACTATTATTCCAGAGCCTATACCTTGCGACGGGGTTCAAGAAAGACAGGATATTCTGGGGGTTGTATTGCGAAAACTTCATCCGGAGCTGACGTCTCATAGCCTTGGAGAGAGAATGAGGTTGACGCTGCACGTTGAGCTGCATACTAAATAGTGTCTCGCCGATAATGTCTGTGATGAGGTTCAGAACTAAAGGTTCCAACAGGATTCGCTCGCCCTCCTCGGCTTTTTTGCGCAAGATTCCGCGGAATGTAATAATTCGATCAACAATAACCGGAACCATGGCATTGATATTGGTGTTGCTGAAAGCTGGACTGAAGAGATCGTGCAGATATTTCCAAGCCTGGCCGTTCAAGTCCGACTGGCTCGGCCCTCCGGTGATAGCATAGAACCACCCTTGCAAGCTAGATGGCTTTGTTGATCCAACAACGGGATGAGACGTGGCTTGATTAGCCATTGTAGGATCCGTCACGACGATTACCGCTTCCATCATGGGCCAGACATCTAGGTAGAATGCGCCGTTCGGGTATTCCAGTGACATTTTGCGCAGCAAGTAGCAGCTATGACTATCAGGCGGCAGCTGCTCGGCGATTCTGCCGGCGGCAAGGAGGTTGCCTAGCAGAGGATTCCATGCTGGCATTGGCTGGAAAAGTGAGGACCATTAAGTCAGCCATAGATGTTCTTGCACCGTATAGCTCCGTGATGGGTATTCTTACTCACCTTCCCCAGCCTCCGCATGCGTCGCATCGGGGCACGAGCCTTCCAAATCGTGCGTCCAAGGTAGAAGAAAATCGCAAATGCCACGGCCATTGACGCCGAGACCATAGGACTGGAGGTTGCTACGAAGAGCGCCATCTTTATCGGACTCGGCCTTAAATCAGGGTGTGATCATCGATATTACGACACCGATGTTGAAGAAAGAAAATGCTGTGATTTCGGCAAGGATCCAACTCCTGCGGCACGATATGGCGGACTAGCCGACTGGGGCCTAGCCGAAATTGATTGACACGAAGGATGTCCGCCCCCCAAAGAGGAATAGTTTTTATTCAGACTCTCGACGACTGGACATCCTCCTGCAGGTAGGTAGAAAACGCCTGTGTTCGGCGCAATACTTGGAATAACGGAGGCCGGGATCTCAGTCCCGGGCTTAAATCCTTGCTTGCTCAAGCCCTTTACTAGCATGAGATTGACTGGCATCTTACGCCTGATCATTGACCTACCATACCAGTGTTTTAAAATGTCAATTAGGCAAGTATCGCACAGGATTACCAAACCGTTCGAGTGGTTTGGTCATTGAGGAGACTGCCGGGCTCTAGTTAAAATCAACTCTATGTCGCCCAAAGTTGATCGTAAGATTTGAGTTAGTAAGAGTACGTGTATGATAAAAGGCAGGTCCTGAAAGTATCAACACGAGTGGGTCCTTTTATCTTTGTTATAAATCAAAAAGGTCAAAAACCAAAAATAAAATAAAAAAAGAACAGTTACAGTTTCTATTGCTAACCTAAACATATCACTAGACTAAAAAGGTTGAGTTGGGCAATAATGATTCATAGTGCTTGCAATTTGTATTACGAGATTGCAAAAATTACAACTCGGACAATTTTTGGGTCCTCACGACACACCCTAAGTAACCAATATCCAAAAGCAGCGTGATGAGACCCATATCCCCTTCCCGAACGACACTCCAGGAAAACTCCAGTTAAAGTTATCTTCTAGATGCTCAATCTCAACCTTCAGCCCCGAACTGACTATTCACGACAAGCCCATCATGACGAGGATAGTCTTAACATCATATTTGCTTCTCCGCCATTCCTCGCCAAACTTTCGGCACGGTCGATGCCCATGATCTGCCCTCGCAAACCTCTGCCCAAAAGCACTGGAAGAGACCGCCGGAGTCGAGACATGGGTCTCGGGTTTTGTTCGTGCGAAAACCACGTATGGCCGAACACCAGCTTGAAGGAACTTCCACGTTCAGCTTCAGCTCCTTGGCAAGCCCGGAAGCTTCTTGCCACCGCCTCATACAGCGTCAATTTATCTTCACTGGCGGACTCTACTGAGGCGATGTGGTTGTAGGCCACGACTTGGTCGAGGGATGCCTTGCTGACATCGCGAGACGCTGGCCTGCGCCAGCGGTCTTACTAGTCTAGAAATGGCCGGCTTCCTCGAGGATCTTCCAGTCGTACCTGATGCAGCCATTCTCGTGTACGAGCGTGTTCGTTAGATGTGTGATCAAATTGAAGAGCCTGCCGCACAGCCTTTTATGCATTGTTCGTGACTAGCCCAACGGCTTCAGTGCATCGTCGTGAGCAATCACCTGCAGCATACGTGCTAAGAGCGCTAGACAGTTTCGATTTCGAATGGAAGCAGAGCCTGAATTACGTCTTTCTTCATAGAACTTGTTATACTTGAGAGCGTCACTGTCACTGGAAGGACACAAGCAGAATACTCCGCGGTATCTGTAGGACTGGCAGATTTCTATCCGGAGCAATCCACATTATTACTGGGCATTTGTTGGTCGCTTAGTAAATATTCTCTCGAATTACTTTTAGTCAATTGTATTATATTATGTATATTGGACAAGCATTCTCAAGCTTAAAACTCCCCATTACACCTCTACGATCGGAAAATCAGCAATGTGTAGTTAAGTAGCTCCGAACGGTACTAGTCTGATCTTAGTCTTAGCTGATAGGTCGAAGGACGGTTGCAGAGGCGGATTTGCGACATTTACCTTTTCTTCTGGCCAATCAATTGGGTAAGCGTCAACGGTGAGGGACGTTGGCGACGTGGCCAGAGAGAAGATGGGGTTGTGCAGCGCTGAATTGCCATCTCTATTATCCTCCACCTGTATTGTGTCTGGATCGATTGTATACTTCCAGGGCGAAGTTGGCTTTAGGAAATAATCATTCGTACTGCCAGTGACGATTTTACTATCAGAAAGATGGCTCCCATCCCGATAATCAAGAGGAGTATATTTAGTGACCAGAGGTTCAATCCCGAGCGGATATAGAAGTGAGCCCCGGCATATAGATGCGGTACCATTCCTCCGAACAACCCGATGTTCTAATGGCACGTTGATCTCTAATCTTGATTGGCCAGGTTCAATCTCAAAGTCGATGAGATGATTATGGCTAACCTATGCAGTTGATGAGACGCCGTTGAGCTGACTCGTAACATTCTTTGCACTTGGACTTGCCCAGCTCGGAATACGAACAGAGAACTTGAATGAATTCGCGGTTATGATGTTATATTTGAGTAATCCATGAAATGGATGATTGGTAACACAGTGGACTGTTACGTATTAGCTCGGTACGATTGCAGATGAATTGTGGCGTACCTTTACACGGCCGCCATTGATATCTGCTGTCAAGGTCGTCGGAGATAGAAGCATGTGAACCATGCCGCCTACTTGTTCCACATATGCAGACGCAGCAAATTTGGGAAATCCTTGTGGATGATTGACTGTGCAACATGGCTGGAGGCATCCATAAGTACAATGTGAGTATGCGAGGTCTGTGTGAGACTACTCACATATTGCGGCGCCATGCCAAAGGCGTTGGCGTAAGGACCAACATCTCCGAATGGGCTCTCAGATAGCTGACCAGCCCACGGTTGGTTAGTCTGTGTGACATATTGGTGCGACCACCCTGCATTGATAAGCGAAGTTATTGACATTGTTATAAATGAAACCTACAGTCCGGAGATATCGCAGCAGGCAATGCATTGAAAGCAGCCAGTTCAACCTGATCTGCGAAGATGCTGTGACCATAGAAGCGGTACAAGTAGGCACAAGAAAACATCATCTCAACCGCTGTGCACAATTTAGACCTACATGCGGTAGTGTTAGTTCCGGAACGGGGTGTATATGATGTTAGACCTACCGTCTTTGTGCACTTAGCCCAGCGAGATGCTCGTCCGCAATACTGCTTCCGGACCGTGCCCCATGAAACCGATTAATGAAATCCAGAGAATTTACAGAATAACGAGCCAGTTCGTTTTCTCGAGTCACCCGGTAGAGAACTGTTGGATAGCGAAGACCTGTCGTAAACCACTGTCAACCGATGGCCGAAACACTCGAAGGTTGCACGATAAACTAACTTACCCTCAGCCATGTTGACTCCATGAGTCGGTGTTGATATTTTAGAAGGAAGAACCTTGTCTTTTGGAAATGCGTCAATGGTGAAGAACTTAGTCCAGTCATCTTTCTATTGTCGTCCGCATTCAAACATGAGATTCATAGTCTCCCAGAGAATATTCTCGTTCTCCTCAGGATAGTGTTCGTACAACCATTGTAAAGATTAAGGGAGTTCGTGAGTTCTCATAATGCCAATCTTGAACTGGTCGAACCCATCGGCATCGTGTTGAATCATCCCCTCAAAGTTGTCCTTGAGCATCGAATTTACAAGCTTTACGAATTTATGCATCGTGTCAACAATGCGTTGTGTCTCTGTCGGGTCCGCCTCTGTATATTGCTTTGATGTAGATAGAGTCAGCTAGACTCGTTGTAACAGCGGAGGCCAAGTTCAGTATACCGTCAGGCCATAAAATAAGAGACTCCTTGCCTAGATACCTCGATCATGATGCATCGTCTCAGGGTCAAGCCACCCATCTTCAGCCTGATGGTCAAGGACGTAATCGAGGAATGTCTTCACTTGCTTCTTCAAGCGTGGGCCATCTAGTGACCAAGCCAGTGGGACAATGGCAGTGAACCAGTAAGGGGCAGATTCATTCAGCTCGCTGTATTCGCATTCTCCACCAAGCCAGGTCGATCTTACGACGTAATCGTAAAAGTCAAACAGGTGGCTGGCTAACCGATCAGCCGATAGCTGCAATTGATCTCGAAGCCAACCAGTTGTCGTGATACTCCCAAGTGGGAACGCGTCGTACTTGAAAGGAACCGACTATTTTTTTTTCTTTTATTTTTTTTTTTTGTCAGCAGAAGTAATTTGTTGCTTGAATGTGTCCGAATACCCTTTACATCAAGAAGTTGAGATACTTTGGCCATTTTAGAGAGCAAAAGACAGTCGCTTGTCAGAGAAACTGCGCTGGCTCGAATAGCAGGAGCTTTGGGACAGGGACGTTTTAAGATGAATCAAATCAATATTTATTGCTAATTTCTAAGATTTGTTTTTTGCCTAGACAATACTCTATCATCTAAATGAAGATCTTCGAGTGGAGCGGTTATGCTGAGCCAAGATTCGCCTCAGCCTTGTCTTTAGACCCTAGGGGAAATTCAAAAATTTCCGACGGAAATTTAGGACTTATCGACCCGACTTGTTTAGGCCTGAGAAACACCCGAGACTCTGTCCGATATCCCTCGTGTGTGAGAACTAAACTAGGCCGTTTGGCACATGATAGAATCCCCCGCATATTTGAAAGCGGTCAATTGACCGCCTGGGGATCGGACTCCGGGGAACATGCCATGCATTCACTTTTACCTTGATAGAAGGAAGGCATGGAAACACAATTGATTAAGTCCCTCATGAACCATTAAGCGACTCCTCTCCGTGCCGACGGGTACTAAATTAGAGAAATTGGGGTAAAGTTAGTAAGGGGCTGAATCTACGAATATTTAAAAAGGTCTCCGTCGGCTTTAACCTTCAAAGGCTCAGTTGAGATGCTATTCCATCAGCACTCATTTCTACAACCTCATAATCTAATCTTCATTTGAAGCAATGTCGAAGCTACAGGAGAAGGCTACAGTACCTTCGCATGTCGAGCACTCGAAAGACGGCGGCCACGTCGCCAACTTTACGAAAAGTAAAGTTGGCGCAGAGAATTAACACAGCATGACGATAAAACAGGCTCTCAAAGATTACCCATATGCTGTTGCTTGATCAGTGGCATTCTCGATCACCATCATCATGGAAGGCTACGACATAATCCTCATCAGCAGCCTCATGGCGCAGCCAGCTTTCCAAGCTCGATATGGTTCTTACTATGGTCCCGACATTGACACCCAGATATCCGGCCCCTGGCAAGCCGGTCTGGCCAATGTCACTGGTGTTGGTACTATTTTTGCAGCCTTCGCTAATGGCTGGCTAACCTATAAATTTGGCTGTCGTAAGACGTTATTAGCATCACTCATCTTCGTCATCGGTGCCATCTTCGTCACATTCTTTGCCCGAAACCTCCCCATGCTATGTGCCGGCTCATTTCTCTATGGTCTGCCTTAGGGTGTATTTTCCGTAATCGCTCCTGCATATGCCTCAGAGATCTGCCCGACTGTTCTTCGAGGATATCTCTCAAATTGGGTGTGCTTCTGCTGGGCTATGGGACTGTTATTGGCTGCAGGTGTTCAGGAATCGCTATCGACCCGTCTAGACCAGTAGACTTATAAAATCCCATTTGTCATTCAGTGGGCCTGGCCAATTCCTCTTTTGTTCATTATCTGGTTTACGCCTAAGTCGCCTTAGACTCTTCCACAATCCTTCGCCAAGGGACAAGACAGGAGGCAGAAAGCAGCCTGAGAAGGCTCGCGTCCAAGACCGCCAACATCGACTTCGAATCAATCTTAGAGATGATACAAGACACTATCCAAATCGAAAGGGAAACTGAAGCAGGAGTCAAGTACATTGATTGCTTTAAAGGGGTCAACCTTCGATGCACAGAAATTACATGTCTCACCTGGGTCTGCCAGATCATTGATGGCATAGTGCTGACGGGCACTCCAAGGTATTTCTTTGTCCAGGCTGGTCTTAGTGCTGAAGCCGCCTTCAAACTGTCAGTCGGCACACTAGGCCTTTCTTGTGCCGGTGTTATCATCTCTTGGATCCTCATTTACTACTTTGGTCGACGCTCTCTCTATTTGCTTTCCCTCTCTTGTTCATTGATATGTCTCCTCAGCGCTGGAATAGCGTCTGCCATCAGTGGATCTAAAACAAACAGTTATTTCCAGGCCGTCATCGTGCTCGCCAACGCTCTGATTTGCTTTGCGACCATCGGCCCCGTGTGTTATGCCATAATGTCAGAGATATCTGCGGTGAGCCTGAGAAGCAAGACGCTCTCTCTCGCACGCATTTCCTATTACCTTGTTTAGATCGTTTGCAATACGATTAATCCGTACATGATTAACCAGACGGAAGGTAACTGGAAGGGCAAGGCAGGCTTTTTCTGGGCAGGCAGCTGTGGTGTTATGCTAGTATGGGCATTTTTCCGCCTGCCAGAAACAAAGGTCAGTTCGCATAAGCAGTATAGAGGAATCATACCACCTAGTCTAAGTGGTTTACTGACGAGAGTTTAGGATCGTACTTTTGAGGAAATCGACCTTCTCTTTGCTGCTAGAACCCCAGCTAGAAAGTTTAAAGGGGTAAAGGTTGATCCCTATAGAGATGGTTGGGATAAGACTGTCTCCGTGGAGCTTCAAGAGAGCAACGTCTGAGTCGATAGCAGGGTACGTAGTGGGACTGGTTTTGTCTTTTTGTTATTGTAGTGGAGGTACTAGGGGTCTCGATACAAGAGAAACAAGAATGAAAGCTGCTATCGTACTCCTGACATGCAAGCTGCCTGCCGATTTCTGGTTATGTTGTATTCCCATGTACCCCGACCGCACACAAGTCACAAGTTTGTAACTTGATTATTGCGTACTGCAGTACGCCGTCTTATTTGAATTAATTAACGTGATAGAAGCCAGGATGGATGATAGATTATGTCTGCTTGACCACTGCATTTAAAAGCGATAGTACCTTTCGGAGGCACACCTGGGCTACTGATTATGACAGGTGGCCCGAATTTTCATGTTTTTTTTTTTAAGAATTCTTTTTTTTTTTCTTTGCCGTGACCTATCTGGGCTGGATGTTCATGGCCCAGAAATTGGCAGCGTAAGCGCACCAACCACATAAACTTTTGCAGACAGACGTGTGCAGAAGAGTCGTTGATATGACTAAGACTCTAACCAGCGGCAGTTGTAGATGAAGCTCTGTACCCCATTTAGCACAGGATAACTTGATAATTGTGTGGTCTCGAGCAATCCAAGTAATTACCCGTCGGGTTTTCACCAGTAGGCAAGCCTGCAAACTCCGACAAAGGGTGCTGGGCCCCCCGATGTTGTGGTTGCGGGGGCAGGCGGGGAAGGTAATCCCCCCGGTGCGGAGTGCGGGGTGCGCCACACGCCCATCGACCTCCTCAGCTGCCGGTGCCCCGGAGTGAAGACCGGGCCGTGATTTATCGGCCCAATCTACCTGTTGGCCCACGCACAAGCAGTCCAACATGGTTCGTCAATCTCCTATAAAGATATTAGAGCTTTACCAGCTTGTGCGTATGATTCGTCATTCTTTAGTCGCATTGGAAACGTCAGGCATATCTCTGCTACATCCCATTCCAAAAAATGCGTGTCTTGAATTGGTCATCTCTTGCTGTGGTGTTGTTGGGGGCTCGGTTGGTAAGCTGTCTTACAGCTGGGTCAGCCAAATTTGAAGGAAAACGAGCGAACAATAGTACTCTGAAGACGTACGACATTCCCCAAGGAGTCGCCAGGTCAACGCTTTATGACGTCAAGGTGCGCACACCTGGCGGCATATGGCGCAACATCGAGTGTTACAAGCCGCAGGTGGTTGATACCAACATCTTCACTGGAGCCACGGCAAAGAAAGACTCGTCCATGGCATATTTCGACTTCAGCGGGCCAGTGGAAGTTTCCGCCACATACAACAATGGCTCTGTGAAAACAGCCCAATTGCGACCAAAGTCACTGGGCATTAATCCAGAAATTTGTGGAGCTAACATGACCTTCGTACTCCATGAGCCAAAAAACCTTGTCCTCCAGGTTAATGACGACATCTTCGGCGTGCTTAATTTGTTCACAAACTCCATTGAAGGCGACGAGCCAACGGCCGATGAGCCTGACCTTACATATTATGGGCCTGGACTGCATACCTTGACAAGCCCACTGAACATTACGTCTGGACACACAACTTATCTTGCGGGAGGTGCTGTGATGAGCGTGCCCGGTATCAACTTCTACGAGGTTGATGGCGCGACACTCCGCGGACGTGGTGTACTGATGACGTCTGCCAGCACCGCTATCTCCATTACTCGCTCCCAGGATGTAACAATCGATGGGATAATTGGGATTAACGTCTTACCACGGTCCTATCAGTCCAACGACGTCACAATTCGCAATTTCAGGGCCTTTAGCTCAGTTACATGGGGAGACGGAATTGATGTGTTCTGCAGCAAGAACATCTTTATTGACAATGTCTTTCTGCGGACGTCGGACGACAGTATTGCCATTTATAATCACAGAGACGAGTGGTATGGCGACAACTCCAATATTACTTTGCAAAATTCGATCTTGTGGGCTGATGTGGCGCATCCCATCAATATGGGCACCCACGGTAATACTGAGAACCCCGAGACTACCGATGGGGTTTTTATTCGCAATATCGACATTCTTGATCAGCATGAGAAGCAAATGGACTACCAAGGGTGCATTGCAATCAACCCCGGCGATAGCAACCTCATTCAGAATGTTGTCGTTAATGATGTTCGAGTCGAGGACATTCGGCTGGGTCAGCTCATTAACTTACGTGTCATTTTTAACGAGAAGTACAACACATCTCCCGGCCGGGGCATTCGAAACGTCAGCATCAGTAACTTGTCATATGATGGTACTCATGCTGGTACCTCGATCATGCACGGCTACGACAGTGACAGAGCTGTGGAGGGCGTTACATTCTACAATCTCACCGTGAACGGCCTGGCAATCAACGACAAGATGCAGAAGCCGAGTTGGTATCGAACGTCCGACTATATACCAATGTATTTTGGCCCTTTCTCTCGCAATATTACCTTCAGCCCATAGGCAGGACAATTTGGTATATCAGGCCCATATCCTGTGTCTCTTCCCATGGTATGCAATTGTCAATAAAGAATTTTGCGACAATCCCCGAACTTAGCTACCCAGAATCAATCAATTTGCAGGATCCTCGTGAGCGTCGTAAGCCTAGACATATCATTAAATACCAAGGAATTTAGACTCAATTACTGAATGGACCTAATCCAGCTCGAGATAAAAACTGCCGTGATATTATTGTGATACGGCATTGTGCCTAGCCTACGACTTATTTCTATCAGCAGGTTCAGACTCATTTCCAAATTGCCAGGACTACACTGAGACGAAAGTCTGGGGCTCGTTGGAGGCTCCACTGATACCGGAATCCGGTGTAGATTCTGACTTATCGTCGCCAGCGTGTAGAAGCTGGGGCTAAGCTCGCAACCACGGATCCACCTGTGGCACTAACCAACCAGCCCCTTGTTACCCTTATCATGCCGTTGGGCACCAGGACCATGGGTAACGCAATGGAAATTGACTATATTGATATGACAAAATCACGATGAAACTCCAAGTCGAAAGCCAACTGAGACCATCTAGATCTTAAATTTCAGGATACTCGGATCTAGTTCCCTCGCCGACTCTGATCGTTTTCAACTATCAATCACCAAAGGCGATTTCAAGAATACAGCCATCATCATGACTGTCAAGCAAGAAGAGCCCGGAAATTTGGGAATATAGCGGATGACAGTGAGATCTGTTCATAGTTGGCAGGTCCACTTGATGTTGACAGTAGCCAAAGGTTGTCAAGAGAAGGGCGTACCCAACCCTTCCTTGCGCGAAGAGGCCGGCCCTTCTCTTTACCAGACCACGATGAAGAAGGATTTGAGTTGGTGGGGCATTTTCTCAGCAGGGTACACCGTATTGAGTGCTTGGTCGACTCTGGGCGGAACCTTGACTATTTCTGTTCCCTACGATCCGGCAAATGCTATTTAGGGCTTTCTGTTGGTTACGTCTATCTATGTTTGCATTCTTTAAGCATTTGTGAACTGATATCGGCATATCTGACGACTGGTGGCTAATATCATTGGACGTCTGTTATAGCCCCTTCTGGCATCGATAAAGTGGCGGTTTGTACTATTGAACACCACTCTTCCGCTGAGCGTTACTAAACTAAGTATCTAGAGCTACTTCACCGGCATTTCTAACTGGCTCTCCTGGATGTGCATCCCTGCAGTATCCTCGGGCGGTGGTGTTGTGCTTGTGTGCTATGCTACTATTCTATTATTCTTGATGTTGGCCCTGAATATGAAGCTCAAGGCTGGATCACTTTCCTATTCTACTTTGCCCAATCTTCGTGGGATTTCAAGATGGTCACGGTCGGAAAACGGTTGGTTATCAGCACATAAATTTTTGGCAGTAAGTCCTGATTCAATGTTGAGATGCGTAGCATCAGCTAATAATATTGCTCAAGCCGTGCTCAGCTTGGCTGAATTTCTTATATGCACTATTGTTTCGTTTGCAATGGCAACAGATGACCTGCGGCCTTCCAGGGCCGTCTGACCAAGCTTTAATACCAAGTCTAGTTGGTCTGAAGGCGTGCAGTTCGTGATATCCCTTTCTGCTCCTGTTCTTGCATTCTGCCCTGTCGACGGAGCAGTCCACTAGATAGAAGCTAAGAATGCGCGAAGAATCTAAACTTGAAGATTCATCTTCAAGCTATTGAATGCTGTATCTAGTTTTGGGGTCAATCCAGCACAAGTTGAATAAATACCAGAAAATGTATTCTTATTGTCTACCCAGAATTGTCAAAGTACCATCAAGATCTCAAAGACAACACGTATTCTTGAACGATCTACGTCTTCCGTTTCACACTCCGTAAAAAGAGCGCACTCCCGCCGCCGAGATATTCTCATCTTGGCCTTGCTGAGCTTTAGGTCATTCCAGATATTAACATTCCTAGGCTTTAGATAAACTTTGAGCGGTTCTTCCTCGAAGGCAAGGCATATCTTGACATCATCGATCCAGTTCTTGCTCTCTTTAGCCAGCTTCAGATCGAAATTTCATATCATTTTGGAGATGATCAGTCTAATCTCGGCCAAAGCTATGCTATGAATCACCATCGTAAGCACTCGATCGTCTCTACATACCAGGGTTGAATTTACTCCTTCCCATTGCAGTTTTTAGGGCCAAAAGCAAATGGCTGCAGCGACTCCTTTTTATCATTTGCGAATCGTGGATCGTCAAGCCATCGCTCAGAAATAAATGAATAGGGCTTATAAAAGGTGTCAAAACCCTTTGTACGTATAGCACCCTGAAAGGAAAATCTGAAAGGGGATTGCTTGCCTTGAGGCTGAAGTTTATTTGCCGGCCGGCCGTCACGTTACTGAATCGTCCGTTTGGCATGTGCTGATCGGCGAGGACACTTAACCAAATTCACGCCATACTCTATTCGTTAAGCTGTGCGAGACAATCAAGTCTCTCCAGCCATGAAGTTTCTTTTGAGTGGAACCGCTTTCATCACTGGTGCAGTTGCAGGTACGAAGTACAACCCCTTCACCCAAAATAGGCACATTTTACTTTCTTGGAAAAAACAGGATTGACATGATGTTCCAGGAATTGAGCAAGAGACGGCGTTATCTTTTGCCAAACATGGCGTCCAGTGACTTGCTCTGGCCGACATCAACCCAACATCACTAACAAGGTCGATTGAAACGCTCAAAGAAGAGTATCCTTATGGACAAGTACTCGCAATCCAAATGGATGTTCGAAATGCAGAACAAGTTGAGTCTGATATTAAAGAAGCAGTCGAATTTGGTGGGGGTCGATTGGACATTGCTTTTAATAATGCAGGGATAGAAGAATCTGCAAAGAAGACACACGAAATAGACGAAGAAATTTTCAACAGAACTATTGAAACTAATCTCTATGGTGTCTGGAGGTGCTACAGAGCAGAGGTGATAGCAATGCTAAAGCAAGAAAACAACAGGCCCCGCCGCGGCAGGGGTGTGTTTATCAATGTATCATCGGTGAATAGACTTTAATACAGCATATGTGGTAGCAAAACATGGTAATGGCAATAATCTCGCTCAAAAATATTTGGCGCTAACATCGAAAAGGTGTGGAGAGACTTTCGAAAGCGGATGCAATCGCCTATGGGCCATCCGGCATACGTATCAACACGATCTGTCCAGGGTAGGTCCAAATTTTCTTCCCACTTAGCTGGTTATTCATAGCCAATTATACTCAGTGGTGTTAACACCCAGATGGTTCATGTGTTGCTAGAAGAGGAAAACAACAATGGGTATTTGACGGAGGCGATTCGCTTAGTTTCGCTTCAGCGCCTCGTGAAGGCCAAGGAAATTGGCGATTCAATTGTCTATCTGGCTTCACAACTAAACAGCTACGTTACGGGCACATCTCTGGGAGTTGATGCTGGTTACACTGCCCAATAGAGCTCTTACCAAACCTAAACGTAGCGACATCATAGATCGCAGAATAAGCTTTTCCAGTCAACAGATCACGGCCAGACACAACAAGCAAACCCTTTATGGACTTTTTACCCAAACTTGTATATCAAGGCATTTCTAGGACGACTTTTCCCGATGCTCTAGATGTCTTGACCATTTGAATAGCCTCTCGGTATCGTTCGAGTGGTAGAACATCCACTCGTGGCACAACTTCGCCGTTCTTAGCAAGTTGAAGAAGCTCCTGCATCTCCTCTTCTGTACCGACCGACGATCCGACGACGTGCAAGCCACGCACAACCATTTCCATCGGATTGATGGGCAAGCAGTATGCCTTATTGCTCGGCAGTCCTACACAAACCAGAGTGCCGCCTCGCCTTAGGAGCTTTATGGCTTGACTATAGCTGATTTCCGACCCAGCACAATTGATCACTGCATGCGCCCCAAGAGAGGATGTTAGTTCGAGGACTGTATTTCCCATGTCTCGTTCGCGGAGATCGATGAAAGCTGATGCTCCCAACGAACAACATAAATCTTGCTTGGTGGCCCTGCATACGTATGAGCTGTCCGTGACAATCGGAATGTTGAGAATGGAATGCCAAGCCATACTCATCTATCGCAATGACTTTTAGACCCCGCCGGGCGGCAAGCTGAACTCCTCTGTGCGCAGGTGATCAGATTTACTTTCGGAGAAAGGAGACGGAGACTGAACACAATACATATGTCCTAACCCTCCACCAGCACCTTGGATCACAATCCAATCACCTTGTCTCGTCCGTGATTTTCCGATGGCCGAGTACATGGTCAAGCCCGCTGCACAGCAAATAAGTCATTTAGCCAGCATTCTATCTCACGAAGCACGCCAATATCCTGGCTTTTGGTTGTGCTTTGATAGATGGCACGGCAGGCAGGCGCCCATACGGCCTCGGAATGGATTTTGTTCTCATCAAAACTCACCGCAAAGAAGCGGCGCCGCCACCTCGCTTGGTACGCCGTCCGGGATGGGCGTGGCATGGCGAACTGGGACCGCGATGAATTGCTGAAGCGTGCCGGGTCGGTCACGCCCCGAGTTGTGCTGCTCTGGACAGGCGGTAGGGTCGCGATCGCAGATCTCGCATTCGCCGCAGGTTTCGTAAATCCATTTTATGCCGACACGCTGGCCGAGACACAGGGAGCTGTGCAGCTCGGCGACTCGAGATCCGAGCTGGACTACATTTCCGATTCCTTCGTGGCCGGGGACATGGACGTCCATTGGATGAGAACCGTCGATGTTGTAAATATCGGAATGACTTCAGCAGGTCAGAACGACTGAGATATTTGGGCTAACTATTCTGCCAAGAAGGAGATATAATCACGTACCACAGGCCACTACATTCAATTTTGACAAGGACCTGATCGTCTGCGGGCGTAGGAATAGGTTCCCCGTGCTTGAGAAAAACATTGGCACCTCTCCCCGGCTTGTCCACCCAGAGACATGTCTGGGCGGCAGGGATGTCACCCATCCTGTAATTACTGCTCCCGATCGCCTGGCAGTCCCTAGTCGTTGTTTGACCTGATTTAACGACCTGGGGCTGATAACGTGGTTTTCTCCGCGTCTTCCGGGGCTGCTTCACTGGCCCGTTTTAGAAGTTATTTTCTGTGTTCTATCAGTCATGTTCCAGACACCAGCTCAATTGAACAAAGCAGCGGGGTGTCTCATAACTATTTACTTTTTCTCGGAAGCCTGCCGGCGGTACCCCGAAGAATCTGGATGGTGTTCCGCTAAATGATGGCCGGGGTAACGAGCCGGGGGAGGGGCAGACCGCACTCATGGGACCGGTGGAGGAGTCCATAGTACTGCGGGGAAATCCCGGAGAACAATCTATCGATTCCTTACCTCAACTAATTAGTGATCCGCAAAATCTATGTTTCTTGGGACTGCGCGGGGCTCTCATTTCAGTTGCTTGGTTCCCCGGAATCCGTCCCCGCACTCGCGGGCGATGCTAGTCCCGCATCAACTCCGGCAGCTCCAAGAGCTATTTGATTGCGTTTCACTATAATATCCCCTTCTCAACGGGCTGCTCATTGTGCTTCCCGCCCATTCTATGCTCGAACCCCAGATGCTCATCAGCCAGAGACCCAAGCAAAGATGAATACCGACGAAATTGCATTTGACGAGCTCCATGTCGAGCATATTCCCGGAACGGAGATTATGCGAGATGTGAAAGGGGTACAGTTCGTCCACGGGCCAAAAAGCCATGAGGTGTAAGCCCCTTACTCTTATCTCTGTTGCCAATAGCTGCGCGCGACCGCCCTGACCGAGCACATACTCTAGACTTATACCTCATCCTTCCGCAGACCCTCATGACCCCTTAAATTGGGCTCTACCATGGAAATGTGCGTCAAACAGGGCTCAAACGTCTCCTCAGGAAGAGAGAGATTCTGGCTAACTACAGTGCATCAGATCTTGCTCTCGTTGTTCAGGCTATTTACTGCTTCGTAGTCGTCGCATCAGCTCTTTCTATGGCCCCCATGTTTCCACTCCTCGGCGCTGACCTCAACTTATCGCAAACCCAACTCAATCTTCTCACTGGTGCCTGTGTACTTGCTCTCGGATACGCAAATTTAATCATCGTTCCCATCTCTAATATTTTTGGCCGGCGATTCGCGAGCATCTCTCTGGGCTTGCTCTGCATCGCGTCCTGCATCTGGGAGGCTTTAGCTCAGAGCTATGGCAGCTTGCTGGCCGCACGTGTTTTGAATGGGCTTGCAACCGCTACAAGCGAAACTCTCATGGTCCAGGTTATTGCCGACATCTTCTTCTTGCACGAGAGAGGTGTCTGGATGGGCGTATACTTGTAAGTTGAAATGCCTGATCTCCAAATCCCGTGAGATCTTCGGGTCTCCCTCGCTCGAGAAAATAAAGAATAACATTTGAAAGCACTGTTTACTTCTTTGGGTTGTTTATCGGTCCCATTATTTCTGGAAACATAGCCTCAGCGTAAGTGCTTCAATTCAAAGCGTCTAGCTGACTTCAATGGACGCTCGACTTGCAAGAAATCGGTAACTAACCTCTGATCGCTTTTCAGTCACGGCTGGCGAAGCTTTTTCTGGCTGTCGCTGGGACTTACAGTTTTCAATCTCATTACTCTAATTCTTTTCTTTCCAGAGACCAAATTTCGTCGCGCTAGCTCTGCTATCGTAGGCGCAGCATTGTACACGCCGCATTTGGAAGATAAGTCACCAAGCGCCCACGACGAGCGACCTGATACGGAAGAGCAGGTACCAAGTGTCCCCATTGGTCAAGGTCGTCCATGTAGGGAGCAGTTCAAGTTGGTCTGTAAGCCGGATCCCCGATGGAAGAGCTTTGTTCTGAGAGACGTCCTCTTGCCTTTCCGAATTTTCGTTTATCCAATCATCTTCTGGGCCGGACTCTGTGTTGCGGGTCCCGCAAACCTCCTTCTCCTCTGGAATCTCACGGAGTCCTCGGTTCTCAGTGCTCCTCCATATAATTTCAGCGTCTCCGCAGTTGGTTTCGCCAACTTCGCCTTCGTTGCCGGTGGTCTCTTTGGTCTCCTCACGGCGGGGCGTCTATCGGATTGGCTTGCCCACAGGTCGACCATTCGCAACGACGGAGTCCGTGAAACGGAGATGCGTCTGCCTACCATGCTACCGTACTCTATCCTGTCCGTCATTGGCATGGTTGTTGGAGGGTGTGCCGAAAAGTACTCTTGGCCGTGGCCGGTGTTGCTGGTTGTGGGTTACGGGCTGACGGGTGTCTGCGTAACGAGTGTTCCGACCATCGCCATTGCCTATGCAGTTGACAGCTATAAGCCTATTGCTGGAGAGATCATGGTTGTTGCAACAGTCCTAAAAAACACGTGTGGTTTTGCCATGAGCTACTGGGTAACATCTCTAGGTGACTCGCAGGGCATTCTCACGCCGGTCATGGTCCAATTGGCGCTGACAGCCGGTCCTGTGGTCTTTGCTCTGCCTATATGGCTCTGGGGGAAGACGCTGAGACGTTGGACACAGAATGCAAGGGTTCACCAATTTGAGGCGGAGATATGAAGGACATCGCTTTTCTATATACACTGAGCCAAGAGCTATACCCAACAATATCTCGTAGTTCTAAATCAACGTTATATGTCAATTACTGTAATAATGGACAATGTTCTCTAAGTGTCACCGTCTTACAACACATGATATGTATACTAATCTGATTCGACTAAAGAACACGTCAATAAATACCTCGCATCGCTAGTTTCACTATTGCACTTTCTCCAGGCTTTTCATTCATCCCGATGAATAAACATTCGACGAATGTTCTGAGAATCCCATTATCGTCTCCAATCCTCCTTTCCGATAGATTGCTGACAGCCTTCTTACCATCACATCCTCGAAAGAGCCTTGAACTTCCTTGAATTTGACGCTGAAATACACTTTGATTTAGAGGGGGGACCTAATTAAATCTCATTATAAGACGTAGTTAAAATCCTGGTTTATAAACGGCTAGTCTCCTTTTGTTACCAGTAGATGCTAACTAAGTGCTTCATTCTAGAATTTCGCCAGTCTAATATATATATGCCTGCGGGAAGCCACAGCTCCGGATGGATATGATTGACCGACATTATACAACAAGGGCTTCTTCAAGGTAAGAAGCCTTGGCTGTCACGCTTCAGATTCCTGCTTCTTGGCACCCAATGTGGCAGGTGAGTACTATGTAGTCCAAAGGTATCTGGTACCGCTTTCTTCATACCCGTTCATCTTGTCTTTGTACCCACGCGAGCTGCCCGGACTCGTGAAAAGTACTATGTTGCCGAACGTAGTAGGGTCGCTACAATCAGTTCTAAGGCGCCCAAGTCTGCGCACCGATTTTGACCGTCTGGCTCGCCACCAGCTCTGCAGCATTCTTGCCAATGCTGAAGTTGTACTCTCCTTCATCGACGAACCACCGCGAGTCCTTCTCGCTCCAGAATGCAAAGTCGCGCGCGCGGACAGGCAGCTCAGCAGTGACCGACGCGCCAGGCTCGAGGGTGACCTTCTTGAAGCTGACAAGGGCTTTGACAGGATTCTCCGGCTGTCTCTTAGTGCTGCCGACGTAGAGCTGCACGGCGATTGCGCCCTTGACGCCGCCCGTGTTGGACACGTTGACGGAGGCTACATACTCGCCGTCTGCTCCGGCCTCATGGACGGAGAGGTCTGAGAAGCCAAAGGTGGTATAGGACAGGCCGAAGCCGAAGGGGAAGCTGACCTTATCGGCCGGCAGGCGGTCAAAGTGGCGGTAGCCGATGAAGACGCCCTCCTCGTACTTCACGGTCAGCTGGCGGCCCTCATAAGTCCCTGGAAAGTTGCCATGGGCCGGACAGTCCTCGAGACGCTTCGGGAAGGTGCAGGTTAGGTGGCCTTCGGGGTTCTGTGTACCCGTAAGTACGTCGGTGATGGCGTTGCCGGCCTCCTGGCCAGGGAACCATGTCTGCAGAACGGCCTTGACTTGGTCTAACCAGGGCATGGCGACGGCAACGCCGGTCGAGTTGACCACAATGGTGTTGGGATTGATGTCAGCGACACTTGCGACGAGGCGATCCTGGCTTCCCTCCTTCGGGAGATTGAAGCTGGCTTGGTCTTGGCCTTCCGTCTCCCATGATGGCTCATGACCGGTGAAGATGATTGCGTAGTCGGCAGCCTTTGCAGCGTCAAGAGCATCTGTCAGGTAGTCAATGTCGTGCTTGGGGCCGGACACCCAGCCCAGGCGCACTCCCACTTTGCCTTCAAGAATACCCAGGTCCACACCCTCGATAGGCATTGGCGGCTGACTAATGACTTCGATCTTGTACTGCTTACCGGCCTCCAGGGAGATGTCCAAGCGTGGAACTACGACACCACCTAGGATGAAGCCCATCGAGTCGGAACAATTTTCTTTCTGCTCGAAGACGATCCTACCGTCAATAAGGAGCTGCGAGGGCCCTAGACCGGAGAGTGTGGTATAGAACTTGGCAGTTTCTGGTGCGGTGTAGATTCCAGAGAGCTTGACGTCCATATTCGGAGGAATGCTGTGGGTCAGTAAATCGACATTGGCGTCCTTGATGAGCCCAACTGTCTCGTAGGGCTCTGGATTGCCGGGTTCGTGGAGAGTGAAGGTGAATCCGGGCTCGCCATTGAGACTGACAACGTTTTCACTGAGAACAGGAAGCTGGCGTTCAGTCTCCGCTCCTGTGAAACATTAGACTTGCGCTCGTCGGCGGGGAAATGTTTGAACCCACCCTTGGCAAAAGCGAACTCGACATTCTCGCCCTTGAAGGCCTCATGAAGGGCATCCCACGGGGAGACTTTGTAGTGAGGATTGACAGAGGCGCTGCCACCGCCGTGCAAAAGGGCCTGCTTGGCGTACCCGAGGAGGGCGACCTTCTTGTTCCTTAATTTTTCCTTCGTCAGTGGCAAGATGCCGTCGTTCTTAAGGAGAACGATACCCTTGGAGCCAACCTCTCTAATAAGGGCCTGGTGCTCGGGCTTGTTCACAGCCTGCTCTTTGGGAATGCTGGGGTCCGTAAAGCATTTCTGGCGCTCAAGGAAGCGCAAGATGCGCATGGCCCGCTGATTAATAGTCTCCTCAGAGATCTTACCAGCTTTGACAGCGGCAACGACCTCGTCGACCTTCCTCCACCTAGTGGGGCCAGGCATCTCTAGATCTAGGCCGGTTTTGATGGACTCGACAGTTGAGTTGACACCACCCCAGTCACTCATAAGGAGGCCGTCCCAACCCCATTCCCCGCGCAGGACCTGATTCAGCAGGAACGAATTAGAGTCGCAATGGTCGCCGTTCACAATGTTGTAGGCTGTCATAACAGCGCCAGGCTTGCCGTTTTTGATGGCTAATTCAAAAGGTCTCAGGTAGATTTCGCGCAAGGCACGTTCACTGATAGTCTCCTTGACGCTAAGACGCTCGGTTTCCTGCTCATTGCCCGCAAAGTGCTTGACCGTGGCCGAGACGCCAGTGGATTCTACACCGTTGACATACTGGGTGGCCAGCGTACCAGTCAAGAAGGGGTCCTCTGAAAACGACTCGAAGTTACGGCCGCCGAGGGGATGACGGTGTATGCAGATGGTAGGGCCAAGCAAGCAGCGGGCGCCCTTGGTGCGAGTCTCTTCGCCAAGGGCAACACCGATGCGCCTAGCTAGGTCGACGTCAAAGGTAGAGGCGATGCTGGTCCCGGCAGGAAAGCAAGCAGCGGTGACGCCGCCATTAAAGGTCTCGCCACGAGCACCATTGGGGCCATCCGAGACCTGGGACTGTCAGTCTAGGTGGTTTTCGCAGGATGGCAACTCATCTGCAAACCTTGACAGCAGGGACGCCCTTCTCCGGGATCGAGACGGTCTCCCAGAAGTTGGCACCGGCCAAAAGAGAGATCTGGAGATAACGTTAGTGAAAACAAGCGTTCCCTCTCGGGTATTGGGGGGTTAGCCACCTTCTCCTCTAGCGTGAGCTTGGAGAGAACAGCGTTGATATCGGTCGAAGACATCTCTAATCCTGGAGCAGAAGGCAATGCAAGATCAGGGACGAGCGCTGGCCAAGTTCAGAGCCGCCATTGCTTGGATTACCTCCCTTATGTAGGTGCTGCTGGCTCTCTGTGGGTACGCAGTGTGGGGAGACGAGTATACTTTTGCCGTTAATTACGTCTCAGATACGGATAGGCCGCAGACTAAACATTCTGCAAGAGTCTACTAGTTACTACTAGGCAAGTCTGTAACTCCCTCTCAAGAGCATGTATATCAGGCTTCTCCCACCAAAGAGCCGAGAGGTCAGGACGCTTTTGGGTCCGCTAACAGGCAAATATTGCCTGTTTACGGGGGTGGCCGCTAAGGCGCGCGTGATATATAGGGTGGATGTTAGCGCAACCGAGGATTAGCCAAGCGGATGAATGAGAGCGGCCATATGCATTGATGTGCCGAAGAATAGCCGGTGTCGGACACTAGTTAGTACACGATCTTGTCTGCGACTGCTAATTGAGAGTACCGTAGTCTAAGCCAAGCCTGCGCTTGTTTCTTGAGCCACCTGGGCACCTGCAGTATTGGTATCAGGTGTCAGATAGTATGATAACAACCCACTGCCCGAATACACAGCATGGTTGGCCCCGATGGCCTATCAGCAGACGCCGGCCGTCCCTCCGAGCAGCCATCGGGGTGTTGCCGGAATCCGGCATAAGTGGGGCATCGGGGACCCCGCGGGGCGCCAAACACCTGCCTGCACTCACTTACACTACCGTCGTGAGGAGGCGCCCTGTTTCTGTTTCTCTTTCTGTTTCATGTCTCACATGATTCAACCATCATGTTTAATCCCGGCTGCTTGACTCATGCGGTATCCAGACGCGGCATCTTCATTTGATTAATCAGCCACTTCAGGACCGCGGCTCAGCTGGTCTTCGAAGTCTTTATTGCAGGCATAACATAACATAGCAGAAGATCTTCTTAGCTCTTGAAAACAGACTACCTTACCCCCACATGGCCGGGTAAGACGACCACAAACGCCATCACAAAATTGCAATTATCTCCGCCAATTTATTTATATACGATCAAAGTCAACTAAGGGTGAAACTTCCCTCACGATACTTGGCAACCCCAATGGCAAAGGGCTAGACTCCATTCGGCACCAAAAATAGGAATGCATGCAATTGCGAGAAGAAAGACTGTGGATATGTCATGGGCAAGGCTGTCAGAAACAACGACTGTTCAAGTTGGCATCGATCGGAAGCGAATCTGAAGATTTTAACCTAGACAGGCCTCAACTTCAAAATAAGATAAGATCTCGGGTGTGGGGGCCACCTGCCTGCACCTCAGGTGTTCTACAATCTCAAAACAAACACCAACAATCATGATACCAATTCATCTGTCCCCTCCAGAAGTCGCCAAAACCGATTCGACGACTACCGTGCTGCATTCTCCTGTTCTCCCATCTTCACCCCCCTCGCAAACACTGTCGCCGTCGCCCTCGTTTCCGAATGAAAAGGAGGAACCTGAGGTCCACACCCCAACCGAGCCAGACCCCCAAGCTTCTGCAGGCACCCCCCTCGTCAAGAGTCCCGCGCCGCGTGCTCCGGCTGCAAGAAATGCCGAGTGTCATCCATGAGAATTACCACGGACTTGGGCGCTTCTCTGCCCACCCCAGACGAGTACTCACTTACCACAAGAGGTAAGTACCTAATACATGTCCGTTGAGAGACACCACCCATGCGCTAATTGCATAGCAGCTTCGAGATGTACTTGACAAAGTCGCCCACAAATTGCAGCAAGTGCTGGATTAATGCACCCACCATCTCGCCGCTATCGTCACCGAGCGCTAGGGCGAGCTCGAAAGAGCGAGCCGTGACACTACAGCGGCTTAGACAGCGCTAGAGCTGGTCAAGTGCTCGCCACCGTCGTCGTCTGCCTCATACAACAGTAGTCGTAGCTATCAACAGCTCGAGCAGAATCTTGCAGCTGCGCTTCGACAAGAGGAAGTAAACAGGCTGAAGCGGAAGCGTATCCTCGATGCTGTTGCTGGAGAAGCTGACGAAGCCGACAATACTTATCTCGAGAAGCTCAAGACCTCTCACGAAACCGTAATAGAAGCTCTCCGGTTAGTAAAGTAAACGCTCGAGACTGCGGACACTGAGGAAATGGCAGGGGAAAGGGTAGGAGCCGAGGTGCATAGGCTCTAAGGTCTAGCAGACGGCGCGGCGGTAGCTAAATTAATCAAATAAATAATTATTAATAAATATTAAAAATTAAAGCATAATTATTAAAATAATAAATTAAATAATAACCTTCTCTTGTCTTACTTTATATAGTGCTCTCTACTTACAATATTCTTATACTAGTAAAGGCTAGAATAATATCTTAACGTTATACTATGCGAATCTAACGACAACTAAATACTGATACGATAATTTATATAGAACTAGACTATTTTATGACACTATCTTAAAACTATAATAGTGGCTAAATCGTGAATCTTGTAAAACATCCTTATTCTCCACACAAGCTTTAAGTCTAAGAATACAAAATTAGAATTCAAAGTGATTATATTTAAAGTAGGCTGTTGAAGGTCGTAGGTGTGTATGTGTGTCTAGGTGTAGATAAAATAGGGCTGCAGCGGCACGTTTAGATCAATATACAACAGTCAAGAAAACCGGTGTCATCTGGAGTGCCTAGCCCTTAGACCAGCTACTCCAATACCCTAGCAAGAGTAAGGTCCGTACCTTGCTGCCGTCGTCCCCGGGATATCATGCCCGAATGATCGGTGAATTCCGTGCCCCACATGCCTGGTGCCCTGAACTTGCGTCATTCCGTGAGGCTTTGACCTGTGCGCGCGCCTTGTGGGAGGATTAAGACACCCGACGCGCTACATCTTGCCCCACACATAGTGTCAGCCCCCTGCAAGATCCAACGCCCTTTACTTTGACATGCTTTAGACTCTCTGACTCTATTACCACGTCTACCTTGCCATATAGCTGTCAATCTGCCGGTATAAAGCTGCGCGTTCTAATAGCCAATCCCATTGACTAATGACAAGACAGCTTGATGAGGTTCGACCTACTGATTGAAAGGAAGAGAACTTAGACAAGTTCCTCGGCGACACTCACCAATATGGCCCCTGACATTCAGCCGTACAACATCTCCGTTTCGGATGACGCAATTGCGAGTCTTAAAAGCAAGCTTCAATCTGCAACATTTCCCCCTGAAGTTGATTTCTCCAACGACTGGGGCTACGGCGCACCACTCGGCGATATAGAACGGCTGGCCAAGTACTGGGCGGATGGCTTTGATTGGCGCGCACAAGAAATCAGGCTGAACAAGCTACCCCAATACCTTACAAAAGTCACGATCGAGAGCTTTGGTGACATGGACATCCACTTTGTGCACCAGCAAAGCATTGCGCCAGCAAGCATTCCACTCTTGTTTGTCCATGGCTGTGCGTACGCATGCATACCTGCCTACCTCGTCCTGTCATGTTAATTCCCCGCTGATGAGTCTGAAGGGCCTGGAAGCTTTCTAGAGGTCGAGAAGCTGCTCCCGCTCCTCACAGCCCCTGATGATGGTGGCCCCTCATTTCACGTCGTGGCACCGTCTTTGCCCAACTTTGGCTTCTCTGAAGGTGCATCGAAACCAGGCTTTGGCGTACTGCAATATGCCGAAGCAATGCACAACGTGATGCTGAATCTTGGCTACCACCAATACGGTTTGTGTCGAATCTTGATTCCTCTCGCATAACACGAAGTACTGACGGAGTGTAGTCACGCAGGGAGGGGACTGGGGATTCAAGGTCACTCGCGCCATTGGCTATCGGTACCCCAAGCATTGTCTCGCATCACACATCAATCTCGTCCTAGCCAGGACCCCCAAATTGCTCAAGACACCCGTGCAATGGCTGAAACACGCCCTGCTCCCGTACAGCAAGGACGAGAAGGAAGGTATCGCGCGCACGGCGTGGTTTGACAAGGAGGGCTTCGGCTATAACCTGCTCCAGTCCACCAAGCCTTCTACCATAGGATTTGCTCTTGCTGACTCCCCAGTGGCTCTGCTCGCCTGGATCTACGAAAAGCTGCATGACTGGACAGACAGCTATCCCTGGACGGACGACGAGATTCTAACCTGGATCTCCGTTTACCAATTCTCCCGCGCAGGCCCCGCTGCAAGCTCCAGGATCTATTATGAGATTCAGCACCCTGTCAAGATAGAGCAGTCTGACCAGATTGTTTCCGGCTATATTCCAGATGTGAAGCTCGGGTTGTCGTACTTTCCACGAGATATTCACGTCCCGCCTCGGACGTGGGGACATACCTTGGGCCCGGTGGTGTACGAGGCGTCGCACGCAGACGGCGGACACTTTGCCGCGCACGAACGGCCAGAGCTCCTGGCGGCCGATTTGAAAAAGATGTTTGCAAAAAATGGAGCTGCAAGCTCGGTGGTGAATACATTGGCGTCTGAGTAGTTATTGACAGTGAGAGTGTGACAATCGGATAGGGTTATTCCAGCACCGATAGCACTATATATAGCACTCCGTAGGCGATCTACGGCGCTCGCATCTTAAGGACCTACATAACACTGATATTACACACTTATATACTACCTACGAAGGGAGCTCCGCGCTATGTAGCCTTGAGATCCGTCATAGAGCGAGAATCGCAGAAGTTATTAAAGAGTGTCAATTCCTTGCCAGTCAAGATTGGCGAATATGTATAGATGTACGAGATGTACTGTACACCGTGCGTATCCCCGCCCGTCTGTTACTCTTGACATTATCAGGCCTTTCTTGCTACTTTTCATCCCTCCTCTGCCTCCCCAGAGTACCTTTGCGGTCTACAAAGATCGATTCCTACCCTCAATTTCAGGCTGCGAACCCGTGGGCATATTCCAGGTGGCTTCCCGGTATGCATTTTGGATGGCAGGGCCCGGTCGGCTGCTTCCTGGATGAAATGCTGGTACCGCATAGTCCTGGCCTACAGGAAAGAAAAACACAATAGAGGTCCGCTCTATCTTCTCTTGATATTGAGGTGAACTATTCCGGCATGACACGGCATTACGCTATAGTAATTACAGCACCAATACCATGATCTTCACTTCTCCATGCTGGACTACCTGGGCTGTTTAAATTGGTTACTTTGTAAGAATTCGCTGTCTGGCTGCCTAATTACCATTTCGAGGCGTTGGCTTTGTCATGATTAGCTTGCGCGTATATAAGACGAATCGAGCATCCAGCGGGTCACAAAATCAGTGAAGATGCCATTCGTCTAATATCCGAGCCTCCCCCTTTTCATCCGAATCCAGTCTTCGCCAGCCTTGAAAAAGATCACAACAATCTATCTATTACGATAAACTCACCTATCCCATTCTCCTCGGCAGGGGCTCGCCTTGCGTTATGTGACGAGCGCAAAAGGGTGTGCGAGCTTAGTAGGAGTGAATGGAGTGATTCATTGAGGTCTAAGGAGTAACAAAAGAGATCTGAGTGAGCGTAGTGCTATATATATGACCCAAAAGGAGCCCCTGACGGGCTCAGGTAAGTGTAGGGGCCAGGGGTAAGGTGAATTCAACGTGACACGTTATGTATAGCCGTATGCATACTTAGACCTTAATGGATCACTCTATCAACTCCCACTACCCTTGCACACCCTTTTGCACTTGTACATATCTTCGTAGCTTCCGCTAGAAGCTGACTGATGTGGTCAGACTCAACAGATTCAATTTTCCCGAACATGGCAATCGCAGAATTATGAAAGAAGCTGTCCATGAAACTGGTGGGTTGCACGCCTATTTCAGCACCGACTGGAGTGAGGGTTGAAAGGCGGAAGGCGGCAGGCACTGCCCGTTTGCGTGGCTGCAGCGGATGAAGAGCCCTCCCTCGAACGGAGCTTGAGACAAAGTTGAAAGTCTAGAAAGATGACAGCAAGGAGAGGAGTTGCCAGAATCAGCGTTAAAGTTCAAGCTTGGTATTGCTTTGATTATTTTGTCTGGTATTCATTGTTGAGTGGCCCGTTGTTGCGCTTCAATGAAAGGCTTGGTTGTTTGGAAGGTAAAGGTCAGCTTCTTTTTTTAACCTTCTGTTTTTCTTTTTTTGGCAAAGATAACAAGAAGACATGCAGGTTGTGCGTCAGTCTTCGGATGCAGGTAAACCTTTTCTAAGCCCAGGAGCGAATGGAATAGCATCGCGGCTTCCTAAACAAGCCAAGTGCTGCTTGAGCTCGTTGCCTGAAAGGGAAGCTCCATCCAACCTCGCAACTGCCAAAATGGCTTCGTTCTCAAGGAGCACATTTTTCACGACAGAAATCTTCCTACCATCATCTCCTGGCACCACCACTCGCGAACTTGCTGACTGATTCCCAAATCATTTCACCGCGTCATGTGCCCTCTCATTCCGGCACAACTCTGAGACGGGCCGAACTGAAGAAGATATCATCACGGATTACTTACTATCTACGACGCATCCCTCCTCGCAACCCAACTAAACAGAGCGCGATCAAATCTACCACATATCTTCCCCGGCGACAAGAGACGACTAGCAAGCAACGAGCAATGAGCAGGCGATGGCCGAGCCAGACGCCCCACAACACGTCTCCATCAAGTCGAACGCGCAGCTGCCTCCCGATGACGTCCGTGTAAAGACTAGTGATCCTGCAGTCGAAGTTCTCAATCATGACGAGAACCGCATACCCGAGCATCCTCCCTCCACAAAAGTCGTCACTTCCGCATTTTCGTCGTACCCAGAAATATCAACCCGGCGCTACTCGGCATCGTTGGGAGCTCTTCTCAATCTCACGGTTCCAGCGACCTCGATGTCGTTTCCCATGTTATGAGCCAAACCCTGGAAACTTCTCGACAACTACAAACAACCATATCGCGACATAAACAACTCCACGGCGACCCAATGAGGTATTCCTGATCGAACTCATGAGATGTTTCCCGTGAAGTTTCTCCCAGTTGAAATCATCTACAGCATTGCAAAAGTGTTGCCCGCCGAGTCTGCCGCATGTCTCTGTCTCGTCAACAAGGCCTTCCACGGGATTTTGGGGCGTCGCTTCCTGAGACTACAGATGACTAACCTTTGGAGACTTCTGGTCCTTCTCGAGCGAGACATGATATTTCATCTCGCCTGCGCCTGCTGTAAAAGCTTCACAGCCCATTTGTCACTTGGCACGAGGACGAATTCGCAACCTGCTTGGAGATTGCCGAGTATTGCGCGATCCCGTATTCAGTCACTTACGCATCGGTTCGCGCCGTCGCCAAGGCGTGTCTGGGGAATAGAAACTATAGCGAGTTTCTGACTTACATCCACCGTTATAAGAAGCGTTTCTAGGACAGCATCCACTATACTGAGACAATTACGACTTGGAGCTCAGATATCGGTGGACTGACTGTGGCTGGTGTCTGAATGATGTAGAGATCCTGCTGATGCTGGTACCAAATATCCAATATTTGATTCTGGAGGGAGAGCTGGATGAAACTCAAATATCGGCAAGTCCCATCCTTGCTATTCCTTCCCATCAACCATCCTAACCGCGACTCTAGTCCTTAGTCGATACGTTTGCGAAGTTTCGCAAGCTGGAGTACCTTTCATTGCCGGACGATCAGATCGTATACCCCTCCCTACCATCACCGCAACTGTCTGATCTAAACTATGAAGCGGGTTACTATGAAGAAATCGATGAATTAAAAGCTACTCACCCGTTTAAAGAAGGCAACCGCGACAATGCAGAGTTGTGTTTTGAGTTATGTCCCCTACTGCAGCACATGGAGCTCTGCAGTCCCGATGAGGAGTAGGAATCCTTTAAAGCGTCGTATGATGAAGAAAAGGGAGAGATGATGATTCGATCTAAGAAGCATGGGGGCTTATTCTATGGTTCAACCCCGAGTACGAATGGCACAAGATTCTGGAATGGTCGCCTCCCTCGAGTCTGCTGAATCGGTCAGGCGATCTCGGAATGTGTGCTTGCCTGGGTGGCAGCTGGTTGTCGCTTTAATGGCTCTTCGGCTTGGATTGAACCTCCTACAAAGCAGCCAGGCGTTTGAGATGCTAGCCTAGTTCTAGCATAGTGCGTGTACCATGGCGAAGAATTGGGCAATGAGCAACATCAATGGCCCTTTCTAGTCTCTGCTATAGGTGGCAGGCCCAACGAGATAGAATGCACGTTGTACGGATTGGCTTCCATTAGGCAAGAACTGGGGCGTTTGCAATTTACCATTGCTAATCCCTAATAACCACTTGGCTTACCTTAATTTCTTCTTTGCTGCAACGAACCTCGCCTCCCACGGAATGAGAAACCTCGCCACCCCTGTCGGCCATCCCGCGTTTGACGCCTCGCTTCTCTCATTTAAATTCGATCATTCTACGGCTTCGATCCTCGGACCTTGGTGTAAACAGAAAGACTTGACTTAACTTGGGCTGACTTGGCTTACTTACAAAGTGATTATTTCATCTCATAACTGACAACGAGAGTGGGAATGGATAACTTGCCGATAGCATCTGCAGATCCATTCCCGTC